ATGGTCACACCCTCACGGTCTCGCAGATATTCTGGGGTTTTCATGGTGTATCTTTCCCTGCACTCAATTCTTACTGGATAAGCGCATCCGTCAACAGGATACACCTTTGAAATGACAACAAAAATCACCGAAGGAAACAAGTATCAGAATCAGGTAAATGTGACCCAAAGAGCTACATTTGAGAAGCCAGCAAAAGAGGGTATTATGCAACTGCATGTGTTATTTCCCTTTTTTATCCGGCTATATTTCACATGAGGTAAGGGCAGATTTGCAATTTCCATTTCTACTCTCTTCGTTTACCTTTTCTCCTTTTTTCTCCAAGTTCTTTTTGGAAAGGGGGTGGGGTTTATTTAGGGTTAATTCCTTGTTGTCACTAGAAGTGCCAGAGTAAAGAAGTGTCAAACTATCAAAACGGGCATCCGCTTAATATGAAAATCAGTACGTGGAAAAATGTAATTATTTTCTGGACATCTAGTCACAGTCGGTCTTAAAAAGCTTATTTTTCAGATTTGAATTTTGAAACGGAAAGACTTTACAAACTAAAGAATTGACCTCCTGATTTTCAAATTTTTTCTGTCCTTTTTTGATGTAAAGAATGCATATCATGGTCTCCACACACACAAATATTTTGAAAAGAGAAAGTGAAACAGGGTTTTTAAGTTCAGAATGAAATGCAAAATGGAAAGATACCTGTAGTAGATGTGTTATTGTTTCATTGTCACCGACTGGGTTGTCCTGAGGACTACTGCTACTCAACCAGGGAGTCCATTCATAAATCAAATCTGTCAATCAGATAACCGAGACAGATCTATTTCATTGGATTAAAGGGCCAAATCTTACAATCAAATTAAAGAGACAAATCTTAATCTATCAGATTAAAGAGACGAATTAACAGTGCAGTTTTCTGATCCTCAGGGTCTTCCTAAACATGCCCGCCAAGTGCAGCAAAATTCATGCTACAAACAATCCTACTCAGTGCAAGCAAACGCAACACAACTTCCTGGTATTGTCACTATTGTGTTGTAGTGCAAGGGGCCACAACTTCCTGGTAGTGTGTTGTAATGCAACAGGCCACATTCTCCTGGTATTGTGTTGTTGTGCAAGGGGCCACAACTTCCTGGTAGTGTGTTGTAATGCAACAGGCCACATTCTCCTGGTATTGTGTTGTTGTGCAAGGGGCCACAACTTCCTGGTAGAGTGTTGTAGTGCAAGGGGCCACAACTTCCTGGTATTGTGTTGTAGAGCAAGTGGCCACAACTTTCTGGGACTGTGTTGTAGTGCAAGGGGCCACAACTTCCTGGGACTGTGTTGTAGTGCAAGGGATGAACACAAAGTGTACCCTGCCACTCATGTTGATGCAGTATTGCAATTCCAACAAACTTTCGGCCACTTTTGCTTTCTGTTGCAGTTCATTTTTATGCATCAAAGGGTTTCTGTTCAATTTTTAAATTGCCTTTTTCTGACACACATTTCCCAACATTTTCAGACATTTCCGAAAAATCCATGGTCATAAATAGAGATTTCTACCAACACTTTCATGAAATATATATGCATAATGCATCAAACAAGGCATCAAAATGCCATTACACTGGCCCCGGCAAAACCTTGGGTCAAACGCTTTTGATGAACGGCAAGCCAAATTAGTCTCGAGGGCAAATGCTATTAACAAATGATAAAAAAATAAAGTGTCACAACGCAATGGCAAAATTACCTGCTTCAGCAATATTCCGAGTCTGGTACAGCTGGGCGCTACTCTTAAACTCACACATTATCTGGCAATTTGAGGTGCATCCTCTCTGGACGAGGTCATTATACTTGTTGATGAGCAAGTCCGACTTGTAGAAACATGCTCCATAGTTGGACATGGTACGATCTCCTAAGGGGATCTTATTATTCCCATGCAGGTAGAGGTGCCATGCCACATCACCACCCCCCGGTCTCTCCATAGATTGAAGTACACAGCGATATCCCAGCTCGTTGGGGTTGGAGACTTCCAGCTGCAGAATATTCCATACCTCTTTGATCTGCGTTTCCCCTGATGAGCAAAACCGGTATGGTATGTTGAAGTAGACTGTTAGAAACAATCGTTCCAATTTCAATAATGCCCCCCAAAAGAGTTTCAGTTAGAGAATCTTTAGCAAGCATTCCAGCCTAAATTGACATAATATCTTCAAAAAATTCTTGCCTGCACACTCCTCACTAATTCGTGTTTGTACATTCACCATGGTTTAAGAACACCAAGAAATTATTGCTGAAAACAGTATTAAAAGTACTGTTTTTCATCTAAATCAAAATAAGTACCTACTTGGGTCATTCCATGAGGTTGGGGCACAATTTGTGACGGTGTCAACTTTTAGATGGGTTCTGTAAAAATGAACAGCTATCTCCCTGCTTGCAGATTCCAAACTGACATTGTTATACATCTTGCAAGGCTGAATACAGAGCTGTGTGTTATTTCTACAGAGTAAATGACGTACTCTACGGGTCATGACCAGCGGTAAAAGTTACCCATGTAACAAGGATACCGTCACAAATTGTGCCCCGACCTCATGGAATGACCCATTTGCAGGTGGATATCAATGTCTTCCTGTCATTGTTGATACACTTTGGTTTACAACGACGGGATCATTTTTTTTTAGAGTAGCTGACCAGTATTAGCAAACTTGCATGCACAAACGCACTGAGCAAAATTCATGCTATAAGCACAAAATTAAACTTCATTTCAATTTTTCTGCAGCAGTAAAATAGTGGCTAGAATGAGAACATATTCCTGTGGTGGTGCCCGTCTTAGCTAAAGGTCACATGCACGTGTGAATTGCCTTGAGTGGCATGCCAAGATAGGTGCATGCTTCTCAAGTCGAAGAACATAAGCATGGGTGTGGTGCCACTGCACTTTGACCTAGAATTAATGGTTATGATAAATTATACTCACGGGGATTAACGACAACGCCACATTCATGAAGATTTTTTATTTTAGTTGTTGTTAATTTTGTCTCAAATATCATGAAGTCACTGAATGCAGAGGTGGCATCCCGTTGACCATCACTGCCGCTGGTCCCACCCAGGGTCAAGAATGGTGTTGCTAGTGTTGGTGTTGCTGTGGTGCTTATTCCATCTGTTGATGAGAAAACTCCTTGCTGAGTGCCATCGATGTACACGTCAAGTTGGGTGGAAGCGGTGGTGTCGATCACAATGACCAGATGAAACCAGACCCCATCTGGTATTAAATTGTCATCGAGACTTCGCAGCCACTGTGCTGACCTGATATTGACAGCAACTTCAAAGTTCCCATCTAGTAAACGAGAGAAGGACACGCCTGTGTTGCTACCTGTGCCGGATGACAGGAACGTGACCGGGCCGGGGTTGTCTGCGTGATTTAGTTTCATCCAGATCGACCATGTGGACTGACCACCTGGGCACTGACCAGGATCAGACGTGCATGAGGTCATGTGCCCGCCCAAGTCGATGTATGCCCCATCTCCAACAGAGATGGTGCACCCATAGTTCAGCACATCTGGGGCGGAGACCAGGGAAAATGTACCATTGTTTTCAACAACATTGTAATCTGATGACTCAACGAGTAG